CCTTGCTTTTACAAATGCAATGCCCTTCGAAATCCCAAAAATGTCCAACGCTTGTCTACGTTACGAGAATACAACCAAAACAGCAAACTGTTACTCGACATAGCTCTAGTTCAAAGTTCAAACTCGAATATATTCGCCGAAGATGCAATGGATATTTAATGTGCAACAAACATTAAATATCGGATTCTATGTTTGAAACAAAGAATTACGCTAATTCCACTTCCAAAAAAATATATTAGTTTCAACGATACATACATACAATATATAAACAAGATGTAATTATTTGTAGTATTTTAAGAACTGAATTTTTGATAAATTTTTAAGTCAATCAACTACAATTTCTTTATTCACCATACTTGTTAACTTACTTATTTAACGAATAAGTAAGTGTCAAATTGGATATTATAGAAAAATTCCTATTGGTTATCACATTTTAAAATTGTTAAAATAAAGAATGTAAGTAAATAAAAAGGTATCCCAATTACCTTATTTATAAATCTATATTAAAGATTAATCGTATATTTAATAAACAGTAATCATTTAAATTAAAAAATAGTTATACTAATTAATAGTAAAAAAATTGATCATCTATTTTATGTATGTGTACATAATATATTTCACGGAGTTAATTATTTTACATTCTAAAGTTTAATGTCATTTGTGTACCCTAGATCCGTTAGAAAGTAGAATTAGGATAATCTTTGCAACGACTGAATCAAACATAACAGAAAAATATCAAAGATATGACTCACCGGTTTGAAGTCTAGCAGCCGTACTCGCGGGAATCTAACGCAGCTACTGCGCCGTGGAGTCGCATCGATATTTTCATTCTCTTGATCCCGATAGTTCCGAAAGTCCAATAACATTCTTCGCATTTTGAACGATCGCGAATCTCTGTCCATATAGATTAATCGTACGCGTACACTTCCCAAAAAAGAACGTACGATACAAAACACGTACAACAATCACTATGAAAATCACTATAAATTCCCGAGAAAACTGTCTTACTGTCAAATAACTATGTATCTCGTACGAAGCACAACGAACGAATCTTTCAATAAACTCTAATATATTATTCGATAAACATTCGAAAAAGCAATTTCGCGACGATAAATCGAACTGATCAAGTAGTACCAACTGAAATTAGTCACAACTGAACACAAGCAACCTTGCAAATACGTACCGATATTACAATTATTGATATTCTATCGTTCGATAGCGAATCATTATTTAAACATGAGATAAGAAATAACGTATCGTCAAATACTTAATTAAATAATCGTTAGAGTTAAACAGAAATTTTGCAACGTCGTAAAATTTGTTCGAAAGCATGGAGAAAAATATCGCGTACCGAACCACGCGCAGGACAACGTTCGACTGAATAGAATTTGACAACATTCGTGGACGTTACGTGCAAGGTCGCGCGTATTTGAAAATGTAAACATATGTAACGTATCGACGATCCACAAAAAATTACGATTATTTTCGACGTCTGTTTATACCTTCGTTTTATCTCGGAGTGAAATCAAATATTTCCTATAAAAATAGAGGGTAAGAAATAATTTCTATAGAAAATCTTTATTCTATTTCTATATCGCAAGAGTTTGCATTTACGTATGCATTTATATAAATTGTTACAAACTATTTTTTAATCTTGTGGCTTTTTACAAATTATTCTATAAGTAATATTTATGTATGTAACTGTTAAATGTTCAAAAATAGGACTTATCTATTCGAAAGATTACATTGATTTAATGTATTAATAAATTAATAAAAAAAATATTATAATCAAATATTAAATTTATTAATAGGAATATATTTGTAATAATTAACCCATTCCTAACTCCTTGTTCCATCTTTTTCGGTAAATCATTAATTTCTCAAAAAATCTTTGAAGCCTTAACTTTCTTTATGGGGTTTTGTAATAATCGAATGAATGGATAATTTATACGTACTAACAATAAACTTAACTAAGAAATAAAGTGGATGGAGTAATTATTTTCAATTACACATTCTCTTTAGTTTATCTAACGCTCGTAATAAAATAAAATTCCTTTCTCATTCATTACACATTAGCATTGACTTTTTTTGCAGATATCAATTTTACAATCTTTCTAATTGCTGGTTGTAAATTTTAACTGGAAATTCAAAGCGCAAAATAAGAAAAGACATTAGTTATGGGTATGACCTGATAATTTGCCTCCTGTGTCTAAGTCGATATTATTCCCATATCGTAAGTCGTAAAAGTACGCACCAACTTGAATCAGGAACGTAAGCAGTGAACGTGTTAAATGGTGTTTTATTGCTTCAACAGACTCTAAGAAATGCTCGGTTTCAAATGCATGCAAATGTAATGAAATCTTTCGGATGCAAATCATACGTAAACCTAAACATTTATGAGGCTGGAACCTTTAATTTCTTATTAATATCTTAAAATTCTCGAATGATTCAGAATAGCATTGCAGAGGGATGCGAACACGTTAAAGAACGTTAATTGAACAGGATACACACGAGAAGTTTGTTAGAAACTACTGATTTTTTAGTTGGTTAGTAACTCTATAAAAGTTGCATTAAATAGTAGTATTTTAATGAACTATCAATGATATTTCTCGCGCAAATGGGAACTAGTTTGTAAATATCAATTACTTCCATTTTTTAGTACAGGTTTGCGAAAGCATCGTGCAAGATATGATATGTATTTTATGATACAATAAATATAGAAACATACATATTCGAATTTTTCTCAGATAACACGATATGAGTAAAATATCAAATTTTGTAAGTTTCAAAGAAATAAACACATATACTTCTTTGCAAGTGCTTTCTCTTAAAAACAAATAATCAAACAAAAAAATACATAAACATCTACGGTATGTTATGGATTAGGCAATTAAATCCCAATATATATGCAAATTGACAGCTTCTAGAGAAAAATGACCTTTAGAAACAACACCGAGCGTTTTAATATATTGTAAACGATACAATATCTTCAACGTGTTTAGAGAATCGAGAGCTTGACTACTTAATATTTGTTAAATAGCTAAATATTTCAATATTTAAATAATGTAACGAATGAGTAAAAGAATAGTAATAAAACAATTATAAGTATTATTATACTATTAATAGATAATTTACATTATAAGTATTAAAAGTATCAAAGAAAAATTATAATCACTGATTACGAATAGCGATGCTTATGAAAATATAGGGGTCTTTTCAAGAAATAAATAGCACGACGGAATGTTGATTTTCAGCAAATGCTTTATTGTATTAATCCATTTAGTGTTACATTTGATAATAGACTATATGTAATCTGTTAGATGTATAGAAAAAATATTTCGTCAAATCGTATATTTATTCCAAAGTATTTAACAATATAAAGCAGTTTCGACATGAAACTAGATGAGTACATATCTGCGTCAGGCTATTTAGCTACATGTACAATTCACAGATCAGAATACATATATTTGTACTAATTGTGTTTAGTGAAAATATTTGATCTCATAAATATAAAATTTGATAAAAAATGCTAATTTACAGAACATGATGTTAATTTTTGGTTGACATGTTATTACGATTCGCTGTTTAATTTAGCGATTAAACGAAACGAGAGGATCAATCATCTACATTTTTAATCGTAAATATTTAATGCTTTTAAGTGCATAAAAAGAAAAAAATAGTGCCATGCAAAGTTTCAGTTACTATTGATATCATTATATTGATATTATGAACGAGAAATAAAATACAATAAAATATAGTCGAAATGTTTCAGCATTTTCCAACTTATTCACCGTCTCTCCACAGGACGATATGTTATAATCTGAGACTTGGCTCTTGTGAATAATGCTATTCCCAAGAGTCAGCCTCAGGGAATTTCTGGTTCGTTTTTCGTGCATCAGCTACGTCCGTACGGTCCTTCCGCTTCCGGCGTCGTTTCCCTGTGCACATAACAAAAATCGGTTTATGCGCGACGACATAACCCTTCGAGTTTATTAGTTGGTACTAATACTTCATTTTTAATCGATTATTTCATAGATGAAATTATATAGTATTTCGACACATACACACAGAAAAAGAGAGAAATAAAACATATCATTAACGTATTGTAAATTAGAAAATTTTCTATTTCACACAGTCATTCTTTTGAAACATTACAATATCATCATTAATATGTAACATAATACATGTGTTATAAAATATTCGAATGATTCGTAGACAACAAATCTTGTCTCGATACTACAGTTTTAATTCTACTAATCATTCCATTATAAAAAATAAAGATTACAAGATTGTACTTATTTTAGTTGTCAATTTATGGAACTGGATATTGCTATTATACAGGTGAAATATAAAATAATTTTGTGAAATCCGATAATAAAAGTAGAATGAAGTATTTCGAGTAATTTCGTTTTATATTTTGTAATTTACGGTAAATATCACGAGTCGGTACAAATTTAAACAAAATTGAAATTTTTGTTTGAAAGCAGCGTAGAAGTTTGAGTAATACAATTTCTCTTATCAATTAATACAACACCAATAAGTTAACAATCTGATCACAGAAATACAGTTACAAGTGACCACAATTTCATCAATTTTGCACATAACAAAATCGAAATTGTCTTTCACAATGTATTGTCTTACAGTATGTAAATCGTTAATTACAAAGATTCTTCTTATGTAAAGTGCAACAACTCTGTCTTTCCTTTCCTTAAACAGGATGTAAAAGACTCATATATAAAAAAGAGTGTAAAAACTTTCTTAAATAAAATGTAAAAATGTAAATATATAAAATTCTTAGTTTATAAAAATGCCTCAAAAACGCATTCTGATAAATAACTTTCCTAAAAAGCGTATATCCATTCTTTTAATAATTATTAATTGCAAAAGTCTTAAAGCACGTAGTTTTATAATATAAGAGCTTTAATCGAACTTTATTATGATAATTATTATGATGTCATTATTTCACTTTTATGAAAACAATTTATATATCCGCTTTTTTAGACTGGTCATTAGTTAAATTGTATACACAACGCCCAGCCATCGTGGATAGGTAGATGGAGATTCCCTACGGCGAAGTAAAGAGTACAAAACAAACTTTTTGCTGAAACTTCGTTTTACAATCACTAGATGTGTAACTGAATCAATTTTCGACAAAATCATTCTCGTAAACGAAGTTGCATATACAAACACTTTGTTGTGCATCTTTAACTTATCTTTACATGAGAAACCACCATTCGGTTCGCTGCCACGATAGTTGAGACATTTCGTATACATCGTCACATGTAGCTCCAATTTCAGTTCCGTTGCATAATAATTGCAAGTTCTATACATTTATCAAATGAAATATTTTATAAAAACATGTATAAAATATTAAATACAAAAAAAAACGTGATCATTAAATAATGAAAATCATATATACTAACAATATAGCTTAAGACAAGGATTCCTCTCCTTGACTGTATAGTACCCAGGGCCTCTTTTGAATTAAAAAATAAATACTTTCTAAAAACGTCATCGAACTATTTATGCTTTAAAGTAGAAACAAATTAAGTAAATTTAAGGAATTGACGATCGAGCACCAGGAACAGTCAGCTATCGTTGCGTTGTCAACAGCATTATTCTTCGAAACTCGAATAAAAATCACATTTCATTTCCTTCAATCCGTCTTAATCGCAATGTAATAAAGGAAAATTATAGTAAAAATTTTTGCTAACATGATAAACAAACATTTGCCTGTACTGAATCGTTGTTCAATCCGACTTGCATCAGATGGATCAAAGAACAATTCTGAATCATTTTGTTTCTTATCATTTGACAAAAATCTTTTTTTATCAAGCGCCAAGGTATTTTTCGAGCTATGGAATTTTTCTACTACTATCGGTTTCGTTTTCGATTGTTTTTTCGCCCGGTTTCCTAGATGAGGACTAGCTGACGGGGAAGAAGCTGTACTAGACGTCTTTTTCAAGGAAAACGAAGATTCAACTGACGCTTCACTTTCTTTATACTTTGTCGAAACGGATGACTTTCTCTCAGACAATTTATTACTACACGAACCAATTTGCATTGACACAGATTGTTGACTCGTGCCTTTGTTAGAATTATATTTCTTTGTTTTTCCCGGCTTGCAGCTACGATTGCTTAATATCAACGAATTATGACGATCGTCTTTGGCCGTGTTCGACGATTTATTTTCAGTATTTTTTGAAACTTCCCTCGTATCGTCTACCTTGTTATCGTTATCAGATCCCGCGTTTCGTTTCATTATCGTGTATTTCGGCACCGCGTCCTTTTTTCGTTCGTTCTGGAAATCCGTAGGCAAACTAAGGCTGTTCTTTAATTTGACTTTCTGCTCGACCTTCATTGGCTCTAATAAGAGCGGCTCGACGG